GCAGGCATGAGGATTTCTCATATCTTTTCTACCACAGCTGAAATTCATCTGAGTCTGAGCAGATACCAGAGCATCTCTGTCCCTACAGAACTAAACTGTGGGTGAGAAGCTGAGACAGGGATGAGGAGTCACTCTGCCCACAGAGGTATTTTCCGAAAACACTGGACAAATGAAAACAGGAAACCGTAATTGAACTAAATCTGCCTCTTTAACCTCATTATTAGGATTGGGATTATATGCTTCAGAGAAAGTTTAACCTCTGTTTAAAACTTGAGGAGATGTGGATGAACATTATAAACCACAGAGAGTGAGGGAATATTCCTGCACTTGGTGAAAAGTCCAGCTGGAAGGAAGGAAGGACAGGGTGGCACAGGATGGGGGTTCAGCCTGGTGTCCTCCTTCCTGGAGATGAGCACTAAAAATCTCTGGGGAACCTGGTAATTTGCTCTCTCTGCCTGAAGATTAAAACAAATTTTCCTTCATTTCCATATTTAAAACTGTGTCCACATCCAGCTGGGAAAGATGACGATGTCTCAGGTTACTTTGTACACTGCTCCTGTAGATCCGGTCCCTGCCACCTCTGCTCTCCCCACACAGCACCTGGTGCCCTCAGAAAACCTGACAGCTTTGGCCCCAACAGGAATAGCAAAATCCATCCTTGGACATGGATTGCCACAGCCAGGAAGTGCAAGCTCTGTGTTCTGCTGCTGTTCATGACAAGGGCAGGTTGCAGCACCTGCCCTGAAGGCTGCTTGTACAATCTCCAGCAGTGTCACCCTGCAGCAAGCTTGGGTGCAAAATTACTGCCAGCAAAGCACATTGGGTGGGCAGACAGAGAGATTTTCCACCTGTGCAGCACTCACGAGCTGCAGTCCAGAGAAAAGAAAGAGCAAGGGAGAAGCTCAGAGGTGAAGAGTTATCTCGGGGCATGTGCTGTTTCATTTACAGAGTCTGCAGATACTGAAGCGCTTCAGGAATAGTTAAACAATTGTTAAATAGCACTTTATCTTCAGGCTGGATAACAGCACAAGCAGCCACTGGCTGCCTAGTGACAGGCAGCTCCATAAAACCACCTACCCAGGAGAGAGGGAGTCAGGATGCCTTGGCCTAATCCTGACAGTACCACACACTTGGACCCATTCAGCTGCTGACTTTTCCAAACCCGTGTGATTAAAATGGAACTCCAACTTTCTGGCTGCTCAGGCCTGATTTGTGAAGACACAGAGCACAAATGTGCCATATCTTGGCTCTGGTCTTCTGGAATTGCAGCTGGGGATGTGCAAGCCTTAGGGAGCCCAACCTGGAAATGCTGGACTTAAATCCATGGGCTGAGCAAGCATCCATTCCTCACCAGCAGGTTCTGTGGAGGATTTGCCAGCATGGCCTAGGACTGTGGGGGCAGAGACTGGGGCTCTACCTGCCCCTTGGGCAGGCTGGTGGGGAAGGGAAGTGGGCAGGAGCTGGCAGCAGGACAGGGACAGAGCAGATGTGTGGTTTGTGGCCAGGACAGCGCTGGCTCAGCGTGACCCAGGAAATTAAACTAGGAGAGAGCAGGGGGCTGGCTTTCTCCTTGGGTGTTTGCTTTTATACACTGAATTTCCTGCTTGGGGAATCTAAGTGCACCCCACAGCCCTCCCCAGGCTGTTCCAAAGGTGAGGATGGGCTGGGGAGCAGCGTGCTGCCCGTCTGACTCCGATGGAGGAAGAAGTGCTTACGGTAGAGGTGACCTTTCTAAATCCCTGCTTTGGACAGACATTTCCAATAAATGCTGAAGAAAAGCCTGCCAGTTCCAGCTTTCTCAGCCTGCTCTCCATTTTCCTTCCATCCTCTCCAGGCTGAATTTAATCCGAGAAGGTTCCTTTGAGCTTTTGTGTGTTGCTGGGGGAGATGTGGGCGCACAAGGGATCGCGTTACAACTTTCATTTCCTGAAATGTTTGAGGGAACATCCAGGGTTTTATCCACACATCAGGCAAAGTTGAGGGCTCGGATTTCAGGTCTTGTCACTCAGCTGTCACCAAACAAATGAGCCTCTCAGAGCTGGAGACGGAGAGAGCTACCTGCTATTCATGACCCCGAAAGCAGGTGATCACTCATGGGAAAAGCAGGTAGAATTAATCATTCTGCTGTTCTCCGTTTCCTCCCCTTTTTTGGCTGAACTGGACACAGTGTGAAATCTGTCCTGGGGGGTGAACGGGAGTGGGGGGGCGAATTAACTCCTTCCTGCCCGTGGAAATACAAAGCAGAGCTAGGTGAGAAAGAGCCTCAGGCTACCTCCCCCGGCTGGCTCTGCTGTGAAAAGCTTGCTGCGAGGTCAAGCTTAATCGAGGAGAGCTCAGCAACCTGTGCCTGGCTCAGCTCCAGGGCCTCCCTGCTCCTACCTGACGGCTGGCCAGGGAGTTATTTCCAGGGGGATGTCCTCGGCACCTTCCACCCCTCCTTTCCACCTCCCGCCTATTGCCAACCTCGTCCCTGTCCTTTTGGGGAAATGGAGAGCTGGAGGATGGGTAGGGCTCTGAGACCGGGGGGCCTGAGACTACCCCCGGTCTGCAGGTGTGTGCTGGAGAGGAGGATTTGGGCAAGGGAAGCATCCCATGGCATCTTCCCCAACCCTTCAACAATCAACCCTGTCCCTGCCTGCACGCAGAAAGCACCTCTGAGCTGTTTGCTTTGAAAATAACTCCTCGTTTGCGAGTCCTTGCTTGGCTTTCCCAACGCGCAGGGCTGGAGCCCCAGGCAATATTTATCCTTCCTCTTCACCGAGCCCATGGTTTGGGAAATAAACGGAGCTGGAGCTTATCCATCCTCGAGGCGTGGAGCGCTCAGCTCCTGACCCTAAAAACATCCTTCATTTCTCCGGGGGTTCCCCTTTTCTTCCCGAGGGGACGGGAGCGGCTGCGCTGTTTTGTGACGGATCACGGCGGAACTGGATGAGACCCCTGGGAAGGGTGATGGAGGTCCCCGGAAAGCGACAAGAGGGCAGGCCTGCGGCGGGGGACACGGACCGTCCCGTCCTGTCCCCTACGGTCCCGGCGGGTCACGCAGTAGGACTCGCCTCTTGTCGCCTTCCCCAGCCAGGCAGCCGAGGTCGGGGTTGTGCACGCCAGGAGAGAGGGATCCGCTCCCCCAGGAGAACTCCAGGAGAGCTCCAGGAGAGCTCCCCTCACCAGTCGAGTCTTGTCCCGGCTCCTTGCGCGGCCGTAGAGGAGCGCAGGGAGCTGCGCGGGCCCCGCGCGGTTTGCGCGTCCCTGCGCGGGATTTGCGCCCTCCGCCCTCGCTCGCACGGAACCACGCTGTGTCCCGGTCGGGCGGGAGGTCCCCACTGCCTCGGCCATCCCTCTGCCTCGGCCATCCCCCCCGAAGGGTCGTGGGTGCAGGAAGCCCGGCGGGATCCGGGCCGGCTCCCCCGAGGGGGCGGCCGGGGCCCGTCCGGAGGGGGGAGGGAAACCATCCCAGTATCCCGGCCCCGGGCCTGGCTGCCCCAGAGCCGGAGCCCAGGAGGGCGAGGGGTGGCAGCGGATCCGCTGCCCCGTCCGGCAGCGGGTGGGGGCTCCGAGAGGGGCTCTGGAGCGGGGCCGGGGCCGGCGGGCCCCGCTGGGGATGGAACGGGAGGGACGCGCAGAGCTCCGGCCGGGCAAGACCCTCCTGCAGAGGGTGACATTTCTCCATGGCCCAAGACCCCGCGCACAAACACGGCGGCGACTTAAATAAACACGCAGTTAATGATGCAAAAAGCTAACAGGGAGGACTGGTACCAGCGAGGCCCCGACGGGATGGGCGGTGGAGCCGGGCGCTCCTTCCCGGCCGGGTGCCCGGCTCCCTCGGGGCGACCGGGGGCTAAACGGGACCTCTGTCTCTGTCCTTGCTCCCTTACTGTCACCGGCTCGCCCCGAACCTCCGCTGCAGCCCGTGGGGAGGGGGGGAGGATGGACAGAGGGGCACGGGCTCGCCCCTGCAAAGAAAAGCGCAGCCTGGGTGTTCTGCCATCAGCGTTGTTTAATTTAGACTGTTTAGGTACAATAGAAAATAAACCCGAAAGCACATGCGATTTTTGGTAACAAATACTCGAGACAGGCAGCGTCATCCGCGGGCTCTCTGCAAGCCGGGGGAGGGAGGCAGCGAGCGGGCACAGACGAGAGAAGGCAACGGGGAATTGGCGGGGCAGTGTAGGAGGAAATGGCCGACTTTTATTATTACTATTATTATCCTAATTTTTAGCCACATCGATGCATTTCACCACCGAAGAGGAGAAAGGTGGGGGACGCGGGTCCACGGGAGCCCACTCAGTATCTGCCTCGCACGGCCGCGGTCAGACACAGGCACTTGGTAAAACTCTAATACTGCAGCTTTTGATTTTTTTTTTCACTATATTTTCTTTTTTTTCCTTTTTTTTTTTTTTTCTTTTTAATTTAAATTACATCGAAATTTTTTTGGTAAGGCTAAATATGAAAAATGTAAACGTAACTTCCCCTCCCTCCTCCCACTCTGACACAGGGCTCAGTACAGCGGTTCTCTCCCTCTGTCCCCGTCCCAGCTCCTCGGGGACCTGGCCAGGCAGCAGCAGGGATGCGCCGGCCGACCCTGCCCCACCACGCCCGCGGCGCTGGGATTTGTTTGGATGGAATCAGATCCAGCAGGGGTTGGGTTTTTTATTTTCTTTTTTTTTTTTCCCCCTTTATTTCCCCCTCCCCTTTTTTTTTTTTTTTTTTGTAATTCCCATTGGGACCAACTCGTTTGAACTCGAAGGGCTGATGAGGGTTATTGCCACTCTCTGCGTTTGGCTACGTGGAAAAAAAAAATTAAAAATCGTGGTGATAGTGGGAGCCGCTGAGCGGGAACTGGAGCAAGAGCCGATGTGGGGTTGTGTGAAAAGAGCCGAGAGTCCCGTTAAGAATCAGCGGGCGAGCTGTAAAACAGGGTGCTGTCCTCTATGTACAACCCAGAGCCTCTGTCCCCGAGCAGAGCCTCCTCTCCCGATCCTCCGGCGGCCCGCCGAGGGCCTTTAGGATCCCAGATCCACCAGGCTGGACGTGAGGGGTCCCAGCAGCGAGTCCTGGAGCTGGTGGCCTTGGAGGCTGTGAGGGGTCTGGGACGCGGTTAAGCCGCTCAGGGAATAGCCGGAGCTCCTGGCGTGGCTGAGGTTCCCCTGCAAGAGCAGGACCGAGTTCTGATCCGGGCTTTGGGGAGGAGAAAACTCTTCCTCGGAGCTGGACATGAGGGGTTTGCTCCCATCCAGAGGCGAGAGTTGGTTCGGTTTGTTGGTGGCCGCGTTGTTGTTTTCCGTGTTCTCTCTGCGGAAAGGCAAAATATATATATATATATATATATATAAATCCCACAACGGGGATATTAGGGCGGGCGTGAGGCGGCGGGGATGGGCATTGTGCTAATGGCCACAGTAAATCCTTCGTGTTTAATTCCAGCACGGGAGCAGATGCTCCTCAAAGGGAGAAAAATAATCCTAATAATTTCATAACGGATCGTCTCTATTTCTATTACCCCTCATACAAATAAGTACACTGAACAGCCCGGTAATTTAGGTGAGAAGGCAAAATTGGAGGAAGGGATTTTTTTGAGGGGAGGTTTTTCTTTCTTTTAAATTAAAAATGAAAGTGCGGCCCGGGGACGAGCTGGGTGCAGGGTTTTCTCCGGGAGGCTCGGTGGGGAGGTGGCTGCAGGAGATGCCCTCCATGGCTCTGTGCCTAGCCGGGCCGAGCGGCCGCCTCGCTCCGAGGCCACCGCGTCGCCTGCCGGGGTGGCCTCGGTACGGGGCGGCGGCCCGGCCCGGCCAGCGCGTCCCCATCCCGGTCTCCCTCTGCTTCCCCCCTCCTCTCCATCCCGGAGCTGCATCTCTCTCCTCCGAGCTTCAGAGCTACCCTGCCCGACCCCCGGCAGCACACGACCCTGCATCCCGACCGCTTCCCGGAGTCCGGGTCCGCATCGCTCCCGGTTTACTCGGGAAGGCAGCAAACAAAGGCGGCGGAGCGGCCTGGAAGAGGAGGTGGGGGCTCGTTGTTCCCCCAGGGCAGGTGAAGTCGAGTGGATCTTGGGTGAAAAACTCGTTTGGGTTGCCACGGAAGGAGAAAACGCAACGCGGTTCACGGAAAAAAAAAATAAAGGCAAAAAAAAAAAAAGCACTTGAAGGGAACCGTGTTTTTTTTCTTCACTCCTATCCCATCCGGCTCCGGGTACTCGCCGCACTCCCGGAGCAGCTCTCGGGGTTCCCAAACGCCCCCCGCACGGTCCAGCAGGGAGAAAAGCGGGGAACGGAGGGGTGGCACGTACCTTTCCTTCGCCTCCGCCGCTCGGTCCCGTTGCCTCCTGTTCTTGAACCAGTTGCTGACTTGGGTGGTGGTGAGACCGGTGGCTTCCGCCAACTCCCGCTTCTCCCGGGGGGACGGGTAGGGGTTGTGGGCGTACCATTCCCGCAGCACGCCCCGGGATTTCTCCTTGAAGCAGTAGCTGGTTTCCTCGCCGTCCCAGATGGTGCGGGGCAAAGGGAATTTTCGGCGGACGCGGTATTTGCCGACGGCGCCCAAGGGTCTGCCCCGCAGCTTCTCGGCTTCCACGTAGTGCGCCTTCAGCCAGAGCTGCTGTAGCTTGGGGTGGTTGTGGGGGGAGAACTGGTGGCTCTCCAGGATCTTGTAGAGCTCTCGGAAGTTGCCGCGGTGGAAGGCCACCACCGCCTTGGCCTTGAGGACGCTCTCGTTCTTGTGCAGGTGGTCGCAGGCCGGCAGGGACCAGAGGAACCGGCCCAGCCTCTCCAGGTTCCCCCCTTGCTGCAGCACCTCGCAGACGCAGGCGACCTGCTCCTGCGTGAAGCCAAACGACGGCAGCATCGACATGGCCGAGCGCGGCGGCGGCCGCAGGAGGACGAGGAGAAGGAGGAGGAGGACGAGGAGGAGGAGGAAGAGGAGGCGACGGGCACCCCGCGGGAGCGCGGCGGCGGAGGGGCGCGGGGTAGGCGCCCGCCGGGCCCGGGCCCGGTGCTGATCCCGATCCCGGTGCCGGTCCCGGTGCCGGCCCCAGAGCGGGGAGGCGCTGCGGCAGCCGAGGGCGGTGTGTAGGGCGAGCGGGGATGCTCGTCGCGGCGCCGGGGGGAACTTTGTCCCCGCTCCGCCGCCGCCGCGCTTAAAGCGCCCGAGCCCCCGCGCCGCGCTGATTGGGCACCCCCGGCCCGGCCCGGCCCAGCCCGGACAGCCCAGCCCAGCCCAGCCCGGCCCGGCGGGCAGAGCCTCGGCACGGGCGGGCGGGGCCTGGCGGCGGGGACACGGCCCCGGACACGGCCCCGGCCGCGGCTGCGCGTCCCGCCGCCGCCTCTGCGCGGGTGCGGCCCCGGCGGCTGCGGGGGGAGCTCCGCCGCCCGCGCCCCCGGGCGCATCTCCGGGAAAGCCGCTGCCGCCGGGCTCTTGTCTTTCTTTCTTCCATCTTTTTTTTTTTTTCCACCCCAAAACTCCTGCCCCACGCCCGCTCGGTCGCCGTCCCCCTGGCAAGGCAGCCCGTATTTAATTACCTTAGAGTTGGGGATGAATAAATAATGCTTTAGTGAAGAGGTGAATAACGCGCGGGGCCCGTGCGCCCCTTCCTGCCCCTCGTTCGCCGCGGGGGGGGCTTGGCGGGTCGGGACAGCCCCGTGCAGACCGCGGGCAGCAGCGCTGCACCCACCGGCGGCGCTTTAATTAGCCTAATCCTCATTTGCACACCCCCGCTCAAAAGCAATTATTTAAAAAATTAGAAAACAATTAGGCTCCCTAAGCAAAGATAATCTATTGTCAGCAGGGAGGTGAGGACAATGCGGTGAGATAAGGGCAGGGCGCGGGGGACTGGGGGTGTCTTTATGGCTGTATTTATCTTTGATTAGATAAGTTGAAGCCCTTATTTTAAGCACACTCCAGAACGCTTTGGATTCAGGAATGAGTTCGTTCCGCGGGTGCTAAGAGCCATCGCGGGGCTCTTTAAAACCTGTTTGTCCTCACTAAGACAGTCGGATTTATTGCAGTTCAGTGCTCCAAGTGAAGAGGAGCCCGCTCCCGGAGCTGCGGGGCCAGCGGCGCTCCCGCTGCCCGCGCCCTGCCCGCAGCCTCTGCCCGCGCCACGACGTGGGAAAGGCCGATATTTTCCTAAATCCGGATTGTTGTTTTTCCCACGTACTTCGCGTCTCGGGGCTGTTTAAATTAAGCCCCTGCCACCCAGTCTGTACAGCGACTGTACTATGTCCGCTGGAGTCAGGGCGCTTCCATATCCCATGACCATGTGTCTGGTAATTTTCCCTTGCCATTTTATTTTAGTACTTATGATGTTGCAGATGAAGTCTTAAAGAGCTGCAATGTCCTCCCAGAAGGAATGTCTACTTGGAACAGATCCTTATTGACAAGGCAGCTGTGTGGGGACCGGAACGAAGCCTTAAACCCGGCTCTAAAATCAACTAATACCCTAAAGTCTGGAGCAAGTGCGCAGAATTATAAGGCATGGGCTCGCCCGCGGCCGCATCCTGGAGGAGCAGCGCCCTGCCCAGCCTGGGGGTGGGTTCCCCCATCCTTCATTTCTATTATTATTAATTTTAAATTTTATTTTCTTCTTTCTAATGAGGGGCTCGGATCGGGAAGAGCAGGGACCTAGGGGTTTATAACTTCTGGATGAGGAGAAGAGAAACGCAACGCGGGACTGGGGAAGCCCCTGGCCATTGTAACGACAGCGGGCTTCTCTTGCCCTCACCCTTCTTTTTTTTTTTTCCCTCTCTTTTTCTTTTTTTTTCCTCCTGTAAAAGGCCGACCAAAACAAACACCGCTCTTGCTGGGAATAAGCAAATTATCCCGATGCGGCCGGCGGAAGAGCTGACAGACACGGACGAGGGCTGAGCGGCGGCTTCCTCGCGATTCTTGAGCGGGACTTCATTCTTCCTTCTCATCAAAATTCACATAAGGAGGGGACAGACTCGCCGGGGTCTACCTGGGAATTGCTGCAGGCAAGGACCGCCGAGCATCAATGTTCATTAAGGCTCCGGGGCTGTTTTCCCTAAAAATTGGGAACCTTTCATTTTGAAAGCACGGAAAGAGGCAAATATATTTCCAGAACACCCCATCCCATTTAGCCCTTGAAAAAATCACAAAAGCAACAACAACAACAAAAACAGAGAATTTCGAGCCGCTCAAAACATAAAAACATAAACAAGACAGATGCAAATAAGCAAAAAGCCACCGAACACCACAACGGCACGCAGCTGCCGCCGGCCCCTCTCGGTCCCCTCTCGGAGCAGCATCAGCCCTGCAGCATCACCTCGCTCCCCGCCCGGCCGGAGCTCCCGGAGCTGCCCCTGCCGCCCGGGCCTGGCCCCTCCGCGCCCGCGGAGAGGTGGCGGCCGAGCGAGGGGCCCTCCGCTGCTCGCCCCCATTGCCTGGACACCCATCGGCTCTGTTTGTGCGGGAAATTAATTTATTCCCTTATTTATTCGATGTATTTGTACAATGCAGGGTGGGGATGAAGATGGAGCCCACGCAACGCGCTGCGGTTTTTTCCTCGATTTCGCCAGTAAATCAAAACAAAGCAGAAAAAATAAGCAAACCAAATACATCTCTCATCTCCTCCCGAGCTTAGAAATAAAGTTCTTCCCCAGTTAAAAGTAAAATTTAATTTTTTTTTCTTTAAGTGTGAGGGTTTGGAGGAAACAAGCAGCGCAACAAAATAAAACCAGCAGCGGGTTTTTGGGAGCCGCTCTCGTCGGGATGAGAACCGGGGCTGGAGGTTGGGAGCCGGCGGGGCAGAAACACAACTCTGCCGCTCGCCGAACATTTCGAAGGCGAAATCCAAAACCGACCCATTAAGTCAATGAGGTTTGTGTTGTAGAGGCTCCTTTCCCATCCACTTGCTGTTCTGAAAAATAGATCGCATTTCGTTATCTCGAGTGAGGATCTGCAACGTGATACCGGATCCGCGCCGCCTTCCCCGCCGAATGCGAGGCGCAGGGAGACAGCCAGCTTCCCGGCTTATTCCCCAACAATAAAGGATTTGTATTTTCTTTCTCCCCCTCTCCCCCCCGCCCCTTTATTATTCTATTTTTTAATGAGGAAGAACAAACCCCCCTCCATATGCACCGCTCTTCTCTTGCAGGAGCCTCTGGCCCGGCTCGCCTGCAAACCGGTGCGACCTTTAATTACTTGTTAGTAAATTGCCCTCCCGACACCTGTAAAAACAAAGCCGGTGTCCGCGGGGCGGGGGCCGTGTCCCTGCCCGGGCCCCGCGCCCCGGGGGTGCCCGGCGAGGGGGTCCCCCCGCACCCAGCGGGGTCAGGCCGGGCCGGGGCTGCCGGAGGAGGGCCGGGCCGGGATGCTGGGGCAGGATAAGGATGAGGATAAGGCCTTCCCGATGTGGCCGATCCCCAGGGCACAAAGGGCTCTTTCTTCGCGCACTTACCGGGACATTTTTCAAAGGATTAGAGGTGATCACGCGTTGTTTTTTTTCCCCTCTCCGAGGGCCGATACGTCTTTTTGTCCCTGTCCCCCCACCTCCACCCTTGTTTCCTCCTGCTTTTACCATAGGACCCCCAGATCCCGTCCCCCCCTTCCCTCTTCGCTAATGTACCTCCTGGATGCTGATTCTTTTAAGCTACGAAGAATTTCCTTTTGGGAGGTGAAACCCTCCAGCTCCTCCTGTTCAGAGGAAAGTGCTAGTGATGGTAATACGGGGTGACACTAAATAAACAGTTAAAGCAGGGCTGGAAAGATGGAGTTAATTATCCAGTGAGCTACATTTAAACCGAGACCAGGAGGGGCTGATTTGTTTTGGCGCAGGGAACTGAGAAGGAGACGAGCCACCGAGGTCTCCTTGCTCCTCTTTGGTGGCTCTTTAACTTGTCCTTGCTGTCGCCAGCCCGAGGACCGGCGTCTTTTGGCCCGGGTAGGGAACCCCCCGGCTGGGACCCCCGAACCGTGGCCCACCCGGCCCCGTGGCCGCAGCGCTGGGAGTCTCTGTGCGACCCGTGCATGGGAGCTGGCGATTTTAGGGTGTCCAGAGGTGATTTTTTTCCCGTGTTTGTTTGCTTTTTTTTTCCCAGAAGTTAGATGAATTCTCGTCCATGCGGCTCGCCGATCCCTGTGCTCTCAGGTAAGTCTGCACCCGAGCAGCAGCCCCGCGATCTGCTTTTGTTTTTTAAATTTTCCCTCCTGCTTCTTCCCTCTTTTCCTCCGTTTTTTCCTCCCTCTCTCTCTCTTTTTTTTTTCCCTTTCCTTTTTTTTTTTTTTTTTTTTTCCTTTGAGAAGTCTGATATTAATAATCCCCGTATGCCCCGCTTTCCGGGTCATTACGGTACTGCTGGTCTCTAATCAATCCTAATGCGATGGCAATTGGAGTCTCTGATGAATGCATCTCAGGTTTCTTGTAATGGCTCTACCACATTTTCCTGGACCTCCTTCTTTAACCTGAGATGCCAGGGGGACGTCTCCGTTCTCAGCTGCTGATTACTTCAAGATGTTTGGGCTGGTGTGGGGAGAGAGGGAGCGAGCGAGGCAGCCTGCCCCTGAATAATCTGGAACTGAATTGGATGAGCCATTTCCTAAATCAAAGGACAACGGCAGGGTTTAACTCCTTTTCTGCACGGAAGCTCGCCGGCTCGCCTTGCAGCCGGCACGGGCTGTGCTGCCTTTCCCCCGCGAGTTCGTGCCCGTGACCCTGGGGTACCCGGAGTGCGCAGCTCCCCCCGTCAGCTGCAGTCCTACAAGACCCCCACCCTTCCATCCCCAGCTGCTCACACCGCCCCAAAACCCCTCAGACCTCCGGGCCGGCCGCGGGGTGATGGGATCCCCACGCTGAGGAGAAAAGGGTGGTGGGATCCCTCTCCTGAAAAAGGGGG